CTGCTGGGCATCCCTCAGACCTGACTGCTGTCCAGGGCTCCTTAGAAAAGCTCAGGTCCCGGTCCCTTCGCTAAGGTGGCTGTATGATCCCAGACAGGGCCTGACCTTGGCTATTCTCTTCCCAGAGGGTTCTCCAACAGTGTGTGCTGTGGATTTGGGGCTCTACAGATCTGCACGCAGAGCACTGGCACCCCATGTGCACACGCGTCACTCACACACACGCACACTTTTGCCCACACGTGTGTGCCCATCATGTCGTGCTCCTGCACAGAGAGCAGGCGGGAAAGACAGACTATGCCCTTGCTTATCGGCTGCTGCCAGCTTCCTCTGCCTGGATCTTGGAAGCTGGAGCCCTGGGAGCTGGCCGGCCCATGTGACTTCCCGCAGACCACTCAGATAATGAGAGGAAATGCGGTCATCAGCTCACAGAAGGCTCCAGAGCGCCACTCCCTGACCTGCGCCCTCCTTTTGCTTCCAGGCAGCCCTTGGCTATCCCCCGCGAGAGCAAGCGTGGACGCTGCTGAAATGCCCATTTTAGATTGCAGGGGACTGCCCGTGGCCCTTCTCGCCCTGTTCTGCTGCCCAGGTGAGCCGGGACCCAGGGTTCCTGACTTGGCACATGCCAGTTCGGAGGGCGGGAGTGCCTTCTTCCCCTGGGTTCTGGTGCGGGGGGAGTCCTGATCCCAAAGTTCCCAAGGCTTCAAATGCAGGGGCAGCCCCACCATGGCTCAGGACGTGTGCTGGCCTGGCTCCCAGGCCTGGGCAGCAGGGCAGACGTCCTGGTCTTTTGGATTCCAGGCTAAATAGGCCTGGCAGCTTTGAGGCCTGTGGAGGCTACATGGTCTGCTGGGGGCGCCCAGGAGGTGAGAGGATGCTGGCATTCAAATGCAGACAACAGCCTGTGCCCAGCTGCTCTTCAGAGGTGCCTGGGGGCCGGCAGGGCCAGCAGAGGGTGTCACCTTCTGGCTGTGGTCAAAGGGAAGATAAAACTTTCTGTGGGTCAAGGGGACTGTGAAAATGTCACCATGTGCCCAGCACTCTGTGTCTTGGACAAGCTGCCAGTACTTTCCAAGCACTATCTCATTGAACCTCATGACAGTCCTGAGGGAAAAGGATCGCTAGCCCATTGGACAGATGAAGAAACCAAGGCCCAGAGAGAGAGAGCACCAAGCCTAAGGCCACACAGGCAGGACATGGAGAACTCTGGATTCAAACCCAGTGCTGCCTACCTGCAAAGCCCTTTTCCCAGCACTTTATGATGTGCCTCTAGCTGAGGGTTGAGTCAGGCTGTGAGAGAGAGGTGGGAGCACAGGACACAGGCCAGACCCTGCTGTTCGGGATCCAGACTCTTCCTGTTATCGCTGAGCAGAGGTGAGCAAGGAGGGCTCAATTTTCATGCACCAGATACTTCCTTGAAGGTCTGTGCAAAATCCAGATCCTGCCTTTTATGAGCTCTAAAATGTCTAAGGGAGCAACAATGTAACTGACTCATTAACACAATTTTAAAAATGATTTTTATTATTAATTTTAATTATTTTAATTATTCTTTATTCGTGAGAGCATGTGGACATGAGAGAGAAAGAGATGGGCACCCTCACCAGGATCCCTCCCCCCAGGCCTTCATTCATCAGGATCTTGGGCATGAGCACCCTGGCATGTTTTCAGGTCAAGTGGCTGGGGTTCTACACTCACGGTCAGCCATGTGGCTTCAGCGTTGCAGCTCAGCACACTACCAGCCGTGCCACTGAGGCAGGGCCTGTATTTTGAAGGGGGTCCCGTTACCGCTCCACCCTCATCTCCCTCCATCTGCTTCCTACTGAGCTCAGACCATCCTGGTCTCCTTACTGCTCCCGAACACACCAGTCATGCTCCCAACTGAGAGTCTTCGTGGCCATTCCCTTTCCTCAGATCTGTAGTCACCCCAGGGCTCGCCACTCCCATGCGTGTCACTGACTCCATCTCCAGGAAGACTTGGCCAGCCGCATTACTTACAATGGCACCCCACCCCCACTCCAATCCCTTCCTTGGCACTCACCACCACTGCACAAACTAGGTCCTCTCCTCATCCATTGTCCTCTGTCTCATGTACTAGGATGTGAGCTCCCAGGACACGGTTGGTCAGCGCTGGTCACCTCGGTATCCCCAGGACCCAGTACTCTGCCTGGTTCATAGCAAGTGTTAAAAGGATTTGTAGAAGAAATGAAAGGAGGAAGTGAGGAGACTAAACTCAGGCCACAAGACCTCTATCCTTAGGCCTTCATAACGAAGAGGACATTCAGGCTGGGCCTTCAAGGTCAAGTAGGAGCCTTCTTCATGGAAGATGAGCATGAGGAAGACTAATCTGGGGGTCATAGGCCAGATGGGCTGGATGAAGGAGCATCCAGAGGCAGGGACACAGCTGAGAGGTAACCTCCTGGGTCCAGTCACAAGGCCATAAGCCTGACTAGGGGGAGAAGCAGAGACCACGTGGCCTTTCCTGAGCTCTGACCTGTGACTGAGACCACCAGCAGTGGACAGCCATACTGGCAGGGCAGTAAGACACCTTTTTCCCAGACTTTCCCATCTTTCAGGGTCTGGCAAGGAGTTCGAGGTTTACATATGGCCAGAGAACCTGGTGGTTGAGCCCTCAGAGTCCTGGGAGGTCAACTGCAGCACCACCTGCCTCCAGCCTCAGAAAGGTGGTCTGGAGGGCCCCGTAAATAAGACCCTTCTGGACAAGCAGCCTCAGTGGAACCTCTTCTTGCTGTCGAACATCTCACAGGACACGTACATCCTCTGCTACTTCACCTGCTCGGGGAAGCAGGAGCACAAGAGGCTTAACATCAGCGTGTACCGTGAGTACTGGGCCACAGCAGGGCCCCACGCCAGGGCAGAGCCCGTGTCCCCACAGCCCGTTTATCTATTTCTTCCATGAGTGAGAGACAGGCATCCCCAACAGGGTCTTCATGCCAAGGCCCAGCCCACCCAGATCACGGGCATGCCTATGACTAACATGCATGACATCCAGGGCCCTTTCCACGTGAGTCTAATTGTGTTGCCTCCATGCCACCACCACCTGACCCCTCACCTGGTATCTTAACCTTCCCCCGAGGGCTCAGGGCAAATGCGTGAACAACACACACAACACACATCCGCCTATGGCCATGAAAACCTTCCAGATAAGCCAGGATTCTCTCAACATCCTGGCCCCAAAGGTGTCACGTGGGTCCTTCCCATCCCCAGCATCCATGGGTCAGATGAACAGAGAGATATCCTAAATCCAGAATATCACCCTAGATGGGGCAAGCGGGGTGGGTGGAGGCGAGCATTCTGGTTCGTACCACCATGGCCCTGTTTGATAGAAAAACAGTGGTGGTGAGCGTGAACCTGACCCTGGAGAACCCATGCAGGTATGTATCCGGCTCCCGTCTTTTAAGTGGGGAACTTCACAGCTCAGTTCCTTAAGTGCCCGTTTCCCAGAGGCACTCCCTTCCGAGGCTCTCAATATAATTACCCAACTGTTTTATTTATGTATTATTTTAGAGACGTTTGCCTTAGGGCACATGCACTTGCTGGAGATGGGAGAAGAGTGAGAGGGAAAGTGAGAGAAATCACCCCCCAGGAAGGATGGCCACGCCACAATCCCTTCCCCAGTCTCTTCCCAGGATCTTGGGCAAACACACACACGTGCCCAGTGTGATTTTGGAGAGGTTTTTGCTATAGGGCGCGTGCACTCGCTAGAAAGAGAGAGACGGAAAGTGAGAAACCACCCCCCAGGGGGGATGGCCACGCCACAATCCCTTCCCCAGTCTCTTCCCAGGATCTTGGGCATGCACTCACATGCACCTGGCATGAGTTTAAGCCACCGGGTCCGGGACTTGAATTGCAGTCAACTACAGGGGAGTCCAGTGACGTAGCCATTACCCCAACTGCTCGTTCCCGCAGCATGGTTTTGAAGACACTGTGTCCAGGACTCAGACTGCAGTCGGCCATGTAGGAGTCCAGCAGTGTAACTGCTATGCCATCTGCTGGCCCTGTTTTATTTTTTAAATTAATTATCCAACTGTTTAACTTTTAAATTTACATTTTATTTACTATTATTATTTTTAAATTTTCTATAGGGTACATGTGCTCACCAGAGAGAGAGAGCAAGAGAATGAGAAAATGAGAAAGCAAGCTATCAGGTCTGGGACTCGAACCATCATCGGCCATGTGGGAGTCCAGCGCCCCAACCACCATGCCACTTGCTGGCCCCACCAACTGTTTAATTTTTGAACATTGTATTTAATTTCTGGAAGAGAGGGAAACAGCCTCAAACTTTCATACCCTTTCAGTTGGCTGTTCAATTTCTGGACTTTTTGACCTGGCCACCTCCATCTAGCTCATTCATGAAACCATCACGTTCATGAAATTAACACCTGTACATCCTTCAGCCTCAACCGCTTCCTTCTTCCCCTTTTTATACTCAAGCAGGCCGAGCCCCAGCCTGCTTCCTCCCCCCATAAGTCCAGCCAGCAACCTGGAACCACAGTGACAGGAGATGGCCTCGGCCGGATGGGGCCTGCTGGAACTGTACGCCCATCCTGACCAATGCCCCTCCTCTGTTCCCTGCAGATCCTCCAAAGGAGGTCACGCTGAAGCTACAACCCACGTGGGTGACCGTGGGCAGGCTCTTCACCATTGAGTGCAGGGTGCCTGCCGTGAAGCCCCTGGAAAACCTCACCCTCACCCTGTTCCACGGCAAAGAGATCCTGCACCACCAGACCTTTGCGGGGGGCACCCTGGACCCCCAGGAGGCCACAGCCACACTCAACATCACAGCTCCCAGTGGGGACAAACATCACAACTTCTCCTGCCAGGCTGAGCTGGACCTGCGGTCCCACGGTGGGGGCATCATTCGCAGAGTCTCTGAGACCAAGATGCTGGAGGTGTATGGTGAGGGGGATGCAAGGACAGAGCTGGGAGGGGAGGGACCAGAGCCCCACTGGGCCAGCCTGGGATACCAACGCCGAGTCCACACTGGATCTTGTTCCTTCCCTCCCACTTTCCCTCCTCCCTGAAGCTCTCTCCCGGTCCCTACTCAGAGCCCGACGTTCAGAGGCCCACTTGACTGAGGGCGGTTAGCCTGCTATGTGACCCTGGCTGAGTAGCAGGCTCTCTCTGGCCTCGGCTCCTCCCCACAATGAGAAGCTGGGCCCGATGGTGCTTTAAGTCCCTGGGGCTCTGTTGCTCTGTGACACTGGGTGGCCAAGATGGCCCCTGTCTCCAGGGAGGTGGGCATGACACCCACTCAGCTCTGCCTGGAAGAGATACAGGCTGGACCACGCTCCCCTCCCCCCACCCCCCGGCTACCACATGTGGCTCCCGGGGCTGCTGGCTGGGGAATGTCTGCTGCAGGCGCACGAGATCTGGCTGCTGGCTAGGACGCTGGGCCACCTAGAGAAAACCTGGGGGACAGACTCCCTCCACCTCTCATCTCTGCAACCCTGAGCGAGGGGAAGGATGAGTGGGCAGGGGGTGATGAGGGTACCAGGCACTGTCTGTCATCAGGCCTTCTAAGACCTCTGCCTCCTCCCTCCCCAGAGCCCATGCAGGACAGCCAGATGATCATCATCGTCACAGTCGTGTCGGTCCTGCTGTTCCTGTTTGTGACATCCGTCCTGCTCTGCTTCGTCTTTGGCCAGCACTGGCGTCAGAGGCGGACCGGCACCTACGGGGTGCAAGCCTGAAGGAGGCAGCGGGGCCTTCTAGCACAGCCTGTGTGAGTGGTGTGGCCACCGCCATGGAGGTCACCAGAACTCTGTGTGGCTCCTCAGGAGAGTGGTCAGCTGGCTGAAGGACGTGACATGCAGTAGAGGGCTCTGGGGACATTACCTTTTCTAGCCTGAATACAAACACCTGACTGACCCCAGTGCCCTCGATGTCTCCTCCTGGGGTAACACTCAGCAGGGGTGTGGATGGGGGCCCTGAGAAGCTGGCTCAGCTGCAGGGCCCTCCCCAGCCAAGCTGCTGCCCACCCCTCTGCTGGCTGGGCGATGGCAGAGGGTGCTTGGGGCCTTCAAAGGGGGGCAGTCCCCATCTCCCCTCCCACTCCATTATTAGGCCCCATAGAGCACCCCAGACAGAGGGTGGGGTGGGGCGGGTTCCCAGGTGGCAGGCGCAGGAGTGGGCAGTCAGGCACATGTGGCTTCCTGGCCCTGGACAGCACAACCAGGCGCTCTCTCCAGAGCAGCAACCAGGCCAGCTCAGGGTCCAGCGAGGTGAAGAAGGGCTGAGCTACCAGGCGAGGGCCAGGGGTGGGGGCGACAATGCTGCCAGCTGTGGGAGGGGCTCCACGGGTTTCTGGTCCTGGGGGGAAGCTGGTGGCAGATCCCAGGGCCAAGTCTGTCCTCATGGCAGGCTCTCGGCATCATAGTAGTCTGCGGAGACAGCACCCCTAATAGAATCTTTGGCCTCACGGACCCCAAGGAGAAAAAGGGGCGGGGCTAGTCTCCCATGGCCCAGCCCTACCTGAAGCCGGGGGCAGCT